TTCCTCCCTCCCCGCCATCCCAGTCCACTGAGCTTTCCCCATTCCTCCCCTACTCCCTTCTCTCTAACCCTCTCTCCTTCCAACAACCCTCCCACCCACCCCCCAAGCACCCGAGGTTACCTGGGTTCCAGATTCTTTGACATTGGTGGAAACGAAATGCCTCCAAGGATATTTTAAGGTCCTTAATACTGTTTTACATGGTTACTTTTTAAGCCCCGTTCCTGTGATCACAAAGTTATTATATGGAATCTGTGTATAAAAGTAAATGCTTATTTGGAGGCCAAGTAAAATGAAAAAATGTTGAAATTGTTTTTATGAGTCAGTAGTTTAATTTATGATTATAATTTATTTGAAAGGAAACTTTTAGAATTAAGAAAATCTCATCTACAGTTCATCTTCATAGTAATTAAATTTTAACAAGCACCAAACTTAATGAAGTTGCCAAATTTTTACATTTTGGACATCTCATTACATATTTTATAATGGTTTGGGGATGTTTTTCCTGTCTTTAAATTTTTAAAATGTATTTTCATGAACCCTTTAAGAAAGACTAAGAATTTGGACTGAAATACCTAAAGGGTAGAAACCCCTTAATTTCTCTTTAAACTCAGGATATTTGTGACTGTAGATCATAGTAGCTTTGTACTCATCCCAATATGGCATTTGAGTGCTAGAATCTATTTACTCATATGCCAGTAAGGCACATTTTCAAGTTCTAGTTTCCTCTTTGTTAGGCAGTAATTAAATCAAGTTCCTTCCTGTGGCCCAAATTATAGTCTTTATTCCAAACAGGCAAAACAGCTCCTAAAGTAAGATTCTTCCACAGGAATGGCCCCATCCCTGTACTTGATGTCATAGGAAAACAAGCTCTCGATCCCTCCCCACTACAGTACTAGTCAAAACCTCCCTTTGATTTTAGTTTTAAGCTAAATTTGAGAAGCTTCTAGAAACACCATGCTAAATACTGTAATACATCAGAAAATGTGTTATTGATGTGACGTGGGCCCTAGATTTTGTTGTCATACACTGAAAATAATGTCCCAATATCTGGCAATATCTGGGAAGAGTTTTGATCATCATACCTGGGATAAGAGGATGTCTGTCTTCATTGGCATCTTGTGGTCAGAGACCGTACATAGGGTTAAGCACCCAGAAATGCTCAGGATGACCCCTCACAGCTTTCTAGAAGACAGTCAGCAATGATAGGACTGGGGAATACTTTTCTAACTCAATGTGGGTTAAAAGTAGAGATTGTCGGGTTTACTCAGAATAGCAACACTTCTGGTAGTTTTCTTGTTGGCATTTTGAAAAGAACTATAAAGGCCATCTTAAAAGAAATTGATTAGTGTATGTTATATACAAAGAAGAAGGTCATATTTGGAGATACAGGACTACTAAGAACAATTTAACTCACATCAAGGTTGGACACAAAAGTTGCTAAGTTATGGACACTCATTTCCAAGACTATTTTTGTTCCCAGGAGTTTTCTAGACTGGTCAACAGATTTAATTTCAAACAGTTTGTAAATAAAGGTATTTATTTTCATCTTACTATCTCCAAGAATGTCTTCATCTATTTTCAGTATTACAAACATGGGTACTTGATCATCTTTAGTTGGTTTCATTTGTCTCAAGGTTACAACAAATTGGTATACTTCCCATGAATAAGAGGAAATCATAAGAAAATTCCAGTGGGAAACACATCCAAGGACACTGAATTGAGATTCCATTGAAATATGACTTGTAATATAGCAATACATACCTAGAGATGAAATGCTTCATCTGAGCTAGTTAACAAGGTAGGGTACAGCTTGTGAATATTAATTCTCCTCCTTTTCTATTATGTTTTAATTTGATATGGAAGTACTCAATCTTGAGTTTGTAGCCTTGAGGTAGTGGGAGTCTTTACATAATGAGCGGCAAGTACATGAGAAGAGTCTTGTGACAGCATCCATAGTCTGGAAAGATTCTGAAGGCATAAGTCACAAAACAATCCCACACCAGTTTGGATTTATGATTAATAAAAGGGTTATATATTTAACGAAAAAACTTACAGGTCACTGTCCTAGACAACAGCCCTCTGCACCACCAGGAAAGGAGTCTAGTAGCCAGAATCGGAGCCAAAAGCAAGAAAGCAAGTGCATGGCTTCTGCTGCTTTTTAGAGCAAAAGAGACCACACCCAAGTGGGCTGGTATCTTAAAGGCTATTGGCTGAAGGAGCAGAAGGAGCTCCCGCAGCAAGATTCCACAGGTTCTCATCTTCTGTGGAAGCAAAAGAAGAACCTCTTTTCCAAAGTAACATATCCTTAGACTCAAACTTTGAAGTCAAGAAACCTTTAAAACATGTTGGTTTATCTTAGCAGTCCCCAGAATCAAATGTCTCTCTGGAGTCAAAAAAATTCAAAGAAAGAATAATAATATACATAATCCAGACTCTCTGTATATTCTATTTTGATGTGGCTTGTTTTTCTTTATTACTATTACTTTTTCTGTGACCCTTTTAGAGGTCTTTTTTAAAATCTGAGTCTATCTTTATTATGTATCTCTAATTATTTTCTGACCAGAAGCATTGTTTTATTTTATTTATTTTATTTTATTTTATTTTATTTTATTTTATGTTAAGTGGGTGTGGCTAAGGCCAACAAAGCTGCTTTGCCTTTTGGCTCTGCCCAGTCCAATATGTTTGAGGTTCATTCATTGCCCCAGATTCAGGGTTGGGTCACATCAGGTCTATGTTGCCTTTAAACAAGTTGTAGCTCTCTGCTCACAAACACCATTTAAGTGCTCTGTAGCCAGACCTCCTGAAAGAGTCAGAGTTCGTTCTGGCAGCACAGCCCAGGAAGCTGCTCTTTCAAAACCGTGCACTATTTTTTTTGTTTTCTTTGCTATCTACATTCACTATACTTCAGATAAGTTGTCTAAAAATTCCTAATACTTATTTTATCGCAACAGTGATTTATATCTTTTAAATGTTAAAGATGCAGCTGAAAATCTGGATGAGTATAATAGGGTAATAAATTTCTGTATTTAATGGCCTTTGAAATTAAACTCTCTAATTAAAATTGTTATATTGGTAAAATGTGCATATAAAATATATCATTAGAAAATGAAAGGCAAGCAAGAATCTGGAAGAAAATAATTATGAAACATATATTTGATAAATGACATGTGTACAGAATACATAAAGAGAAATTGTACTTAAAAATAATACAGTGAACAAGCCAATCACAAAAGCTGCCATTTTTGAATAGACATTTCATAAAAAGAAATGTAATAATGCCTGGTACACATATAGAAATATGATAATTTATTTGTTATCAGAAAAAATGCAAGTTTAGAACCACAGTGAGATATTATTTCATACATACTTGAATGGCTATAATTAAAAAGGTAGACCATAAAAATGTTGTGTTCAGGATGTGTAGAAATATTGATATACTCATGATACAAATGTAAAAGAGTATGATTACATTGGAAGACAGTACCTCAGTTTTCCATTTTGTTGTTATTTATTAATTCTATGTAAAAATCATTTAAAATACTATCTATCTCATACCTTTGTTTTTCCTGGTAACTCTTATTACTCAAACATGAACAGGTTTTATTTTTTTGTATATATATTTCATTTTACTTAGTCGATACTAACAGGAAGTTACATTTGAATTATAAAGAATGATGATTAAATCTTAATATATTTGAAGAAGATAAAATTGAACAAAACAAGACCTGACTAATGTGTAAAACATATGTGTATCTCTTTCTTAATAAATACAATATTAGTTATTCCTAATTCCCAAATTTGAATGATAAATAAAGTAATAGATAAATTGTGGATGTTATTTCATTGCATTTTAAAATTTAAAAGTTGCCCAAGACTTAAAACTGTATATTCTGGTGAATAGAGATTACAAAGAATATAAATTATATTTGATCAAAGAAAAATTTAATTTACAATTAGAAATATGGCATCTTAAAATGAGAAGAAAAGCTAAAGTTTTACTTTGCAGACAGGTAAGGTATGGGAGAACTTAATAAAGAGTAATTAGCCAAATAAAGATGTTAGTAGGTGTGGTTGGTTATTCGAGTAGCCCTGATGTTCCCATGTAACTCTTCACATTGAAGTCTCCAACAACTGTTGGTCATAATGACACAGAAGCAGAAAATGGGAAAAGCAATGAGTAGCTGGTAAGGTCATCCATGGCCTATGTGTTGCTTTATTTCAGACAGAGAATAAAGCATGTTGTGTGTTTTTTTTCTTTTTTCTGAAAAGTCTCATAAAAATCTAAAATCTCAACTTCATTCCTCTTATTAAGAAAAACCCAAATTAACCTACGTCCCTAATAGAATATTTTCAGTTGTGGGCAAGACAGAGACGACCTAATAAAATATTCAGGAGTAATCTGCTATTGTCTCGCTACACGATTCCTGTAAGTGTGGGGAATAGATTATTGCTTTAATGTTTCATGTTGGGGTCAAACACACAGGTCAGGGGGCACACAGAAAGATAAGTCGGTGATGTGTTAGCCCAAAGTTGTTGATGGCTGTGTAGACACTAGAGCAAGGGCAAATAATCACAATTCAGGAAAGAAGGGAAATATTGGTGTTGGTAGTAGATGTTGGCCCCAAGGGCAGAGAAAAGGGCAGAGGCAAACAAGATTGGAAACCAGAATTAGAGACAGGTAGAGAATTCCTGGCAGGACGACAATAAGAAGTGTTTTATACTAGAAACTGTTTTATGACACAGGTTAAGACACAGTTGCAGTGTCCATGTAAGAATAGCTAGTTGTGTAAGAAGTTCCTTTTGTGGTCAGTTTCCCTCAGTGACTGTTCATACCTGGTATACATTTGTTACTAGTCTAACTCAGTTGTATTGTAGATCAATATTTTTACCTTGTTTGTACTCAGCCTGCCCATCTAGAGGGTAGCTGGCGTTTTTATGTTCATACCTAAGGGACTTCTCAACATGTGGTTCTCACATCTTGCAATCTCTCTCCGTTTCAGCCTGGACAGTTTCAGACAGTACAGTCTCACTACATGGTTTGAGAAATGGCTGTAGGCAACCACACGCAACGCAGTTACTCCATCATCCCATGTTTTATATTTGTTGAGGTAAGTACATGCTTTAAGCTATGAACAACTTATAATAGCAAATTTCATGCTGAAGACATGTATTCTTTTATGAAATTATTTAATCTCAAGATTGGGTCAAAGTTGGATGGTACAAATAGAAAATTAATAATTTTAAAACTATATTGATTAAATAAGAAACTGCAATTAAGCAGGTTTTGAAGCTGTCTTTGGGACACAGTTTATTCTTTGTTATTCTGTTTATTTCCAATGATCCTGTGAATATATTAGCTATGAAACTGAATGCAGCACTTTAATTAAATTCTCCTTTAAAAAAAATCAATATCCTTTTCCAGAAACTCAGTAAGGCAGGCAGTTTACCCTAGACTGTGTTTTTTCTCTTTGAAGTTCATGGGTGAGAAAAATAGAACTGACCATTTCCACTAGGCATTTGCCCCTATGATGTCAGGAACCTTGTATGATGAGTTTGTCCTTCTATCGTGCATCTCTGTGAGTTGCTCCACTATTGCTCAGGCATCTGTTTTGCCAGCTTCCAACATCCTTCCTCATAGTTGTTTCCTCAATGAAGTATTTGCTGTGGAAAAGACAAAGATATTGTCATTTAGGAAATTGGGGATCTTATGGCCAAAACTCTGTTCCCTAAGTTATCGGAGAGTAAAATGTTGATTTTTCCAACCATATTAATATTTTGGTCTTTTTGAGATAAGTTATCTAAGGAATTATTTTATCATACATATAAGGCTTTAAATATGAACTGTAGGAAGCTGAAAAGTACTTGAGCATCCAGTCTGGATAATGTGTGTACCATTCCAAGGCTTGGCTGTAGCATCTTTTTGATTGACTGGGAATTATGCATGTTGATGTATTTATTATCTGTGAAAATAGGTACTTAGCCCAAACTCCTACCTATCATAGCAAATACAGACTTTCAGTAATTGTGAGGGGGTTTAACTTCAGCTTGCCTTTGTTTTGTTTTGGACACAGAATCTCCCTTTTTGGTCCAGACTGCCTTGACCTCATGACAATCCACCTGCTTTAGCCTTGCAAATACCATTATGGACACATATGTAACCTACTTAGTAACATATGCAGCCTATGACTCATAGTATCATAGTGATCTTTTAAGTTTAAAGCTACTCTGATCTATGAGTTTCATCTGGTGATCATTTAGGGGCAGTTTAGTATTACCCAGCAGTTTACTCCGACTGATATTTGTGAAACAGCTTGCTTGAATTGCAGGATCTGGTGAAATAGGAGAGAACGTCAAAGTGCATATAGAATTAATTAAGCTAAAATTCTGGAAGCATAAACAAAGAACTCATTTCTATAACACACGCATGTTGCCTTCGACTTGCTTTACAATGTCATGGAGACCAGTTAGATAGGAACAACACGGTATGTGAATTGTGGGCTCCACCTCTTCTTGTTGAAGTTGTAATGGAGGGAGGGATGCTTTTTTCTTACTGCTTATGTAGAAAATGTAAAGAGAGTGTCATTTCCTTTTGTTGTTATAAGAAAAATAAAATGTATAGTATTCTAGAGAATGCTAGGGACTAATCCATCAGCCATCATCTTTATCCTCCCAGAACACTTCTATTTTAGGCTCCCTCCCCCCAAACAAACAGGAACCAAGCCTCAAAGTAAAGAATAACTTGTTTCTGGAAACTGTTCTTTCCGACAGTTTTTAGCTCTCTAATGTGTAATGTGTAATGAGCTTGGCTGGTGAAGCAGAAACTAGAGAGATTAATCACCCTTCTGTAGCTCACTTTGATGCTGACATAAATCTGAGTTTGGAAACCTGGGAGCGGAGAGACAGTTGATTCTTTTTCTTGCTGTACTGTAACTCTTATTTTGCAATGGAGTTTAAGATACATCACTAATGTCTCTTCAGATTAGGCTGAAACAGAACTTAGTTGAAAAGTAATATAAAGAAAGTGAACCTGAAGGTGACTCCATGGTTCTCATCGATTTCATTCATAGAAAATGGATAATTTTCCTGTGTTTCTTCCAAGCAATGCAGCAAGAGTATTAGAAGATATAGGCCCAAATAACTAAAATGTCAATTGCATCCGTGAATATTGTTTTTTAATTAGGAAAGACATTAAACACAATAAAATAAATCTTACAATTTTGCCATATTTGCATCAATTTTCTTTTGACTTTTTGCTGTTGTTTTTGTTTTTTGATCCCAAGGAAAATAAAATGCTACAGGTATGGCCAAAGCCCTACAACATGGAATATGATTCATGTGTACCTTTTATTTTTAATACAATGTTAATTAAAATACAGTTCCCTTTCGTACATCTAGCCCCTCTGTTCAACTCCTTCCAGGCCCTTCTTATCAAACCGATAGCCTCTTCTGCCACAATTATTAGTGCTACACACATGTACATATGTGTGCAAATATATAAACACAACTTGATGAGTCTGTTTTTGTTTGTGTATGAATTGTTTCAGGCTGACCACATTGTATTAAACAACTGGCTCATCCTGGAGAGAAGCTAACTCTTCCTTCTCTGTTGTAACATTGCATTTTTTGTGTGTGTTCAGGTTTCGTGTTTTAATTAGCTCCATAAAGGACATCCTAAACACATCAGACACAACAGAATATCTTTTCTTCCAGTATTAAAAAAATGACATTCACAAACATTTTAAAGATTACATTGCTATTTAAGGCAAAGAGCAATTCCTCTGATTAAAGCTGAGGATAGCATTTGCCTATGTTTATAAAAATAAATATTTGGAAGGTAGTTTAGTGCTGTGTTAATTTAGCTAAACAACAGTAGTAAGTCCTGTCTATTCAGCCACAGGATTTTTACTGGGTTTGTAGTGAATTCTCTCCTGTGGGGTGAGCCTCACATCCAATCAGAGACCAGGTGGTTACTCTCATCATGGGCCTGCCACTGTCCCATCAGTCAGCACATTTTGCCTGGCAGGTTGTTTCTAGTTTGTAGGGTTCACATCTAGGTAAGGTCATCAACCCCTTTCTCCTATGGCAGCCTACATAGCAACTCCTATTATTAGGAAAACAAACCAGCAGGAAGGATGCTTTCAGCTCAGCTCTAGATTGATTTCTATAGACCCTTCATCCAGGATGTATCTTCAGCAATAGGATCTTATCAACTATTCTGGTAAACAACCAACACAAGTGACCAGAGTACTGTTTTGTGGACCTTTGGGCTTCCCTGATTGACAAGACCTGAGGAGGAACTGGAGCAGCATTTCCAGATAGCCATGATTTTATCCTTTTAGCTCATTTCTTTTAGCACCTATAATTTTTAATTGGATTACAAAGTTTTCCATTGGATTACAAATGTTTCCATTTGGTTATTTCACACACCCCTCATTTAAGTTAACTTTTAAAAATCCTGGGTTTGTTTTTAGACATCATCCTTCTCTATCATGTTATTTTGTAGCTTCTGGTTTTCTCGCATGCCTTTCATTGTACCAGGTGCATTTTGCATACTCCCAGGAAAATGGGCTGTGATGAGTCCTCTTATTTGTTGTGTCCACTGCTATAGCTCACAACGGAAATATTCTTTTGGGATTCATGTGGCTACTAGGCTTGGGGAGCAATGCTTCGCAGAGGTCTTGCACTTTGATTTTATTATTTGGAGCCTCAACCTCCAAAGCCCCCGAGTCAGAGTGCCCTGTCTCTGTGTTGTTTGTGTGTTAGCAGGTAGATTCCATGAAGCCTGTTTTTTTCTCCGAAGTGAAAAGCAACTTTTCACGCATGCTGGCTTTTACACAAGACTTGCACTTTTAACACAAGACCTCATTCCTGTATCGGGGACACTAAGACCCAAATCCCAAGACTGAGACTGACCTGTAGCCCTTGCTCTACCCCACCAGGATCCACTGGGGCTTGCATTTATGAAGTACCATTTAGATTTTTAGTACCTGTTTTGATTCAACTTTCCTGTGAGTTCAACAGAAATAGAAAGAGAGGAGGGAGGGAGAGAGAGAAAATAGAGGGAGAGAAGGTGAAGAGAGGGGAGGAAGAAAGTTAATCATTAATAGGTATTTATACTAGCTTTGTATCTAATATTTTTGGTCCATCAATGCACTTGTTAATGCAACAAAACTTTCAGTATCTACAGTTTCCCAAAGTCATAATGTGTTTGCCTTTTTTTTGAATGTTTTGCATGTACTTTGGCTTCTTATGTAACTTGGATCTTACAAAACTTCTTATAAAGCCAGCATTTCTTAGCCTTGGTTAAATGAATCTATGATACAGAAAGAGGATGAGATACACCTGCTGCCCATTATGGAACTCTCCCAGGCGTTCTCTTGGTTGTTTCTATGAGCACAGCCTGGGACAGGGCATGTTTGGTTTACTCCTGGCAGTTGATCAGAACAGTCTCTAACCGACATCTATAATTCAAATTCTCTGGTGCAATAGGAACTTGCTTTGCACTCACCTAGAAAAAGCTGAAGGGAGTTGCCTGATGAAGCAGTTAGCAGCATGAAGGGTCTCATTGGGGGTAAAAAGTCAGGAGCAGCATTGCCCTGGTTAGTCCTAGCACTGGGCAATGTTTGTAGATTACAAGAGCACAATTAGTGAATGGACCAAAGGGAGAGGCAGAGCATTGATGGAAACAGGGTAGATTGAGACACAAGATATAAAATGAGCAAGGAAGGGCATTCTGGAACCCAAGGCCTAGAAGGCTGGGCATGCAGAATGGATCCTTTGTAATCTCCCAGTGCCTTCAGGTTTTGTCTCTGACCAGAAGTTCTGAAACAGAAAGATTGCCAAGTGAATAATGATCTTAGAGAGAGAGGTCTTAGCACTAATGAGAAAGAAATCCAGAACACCTAAAATTCCAAGATGATCCATGGTGGTATTTCTTACCAATAGATGCTTTTCACTGATCTAATCACAGTAGAATAAGCAAAAAGTGGCAAATGGACTGGACAAAAGCCAGAGATGACTTTAGAGTAGGAGAGAGACCCTCCATTTTAACAGGAGGCATAGACCATGTCAACTTCGTTTCTGTGCCTTGCGGACAATATTTTGGGAG